TAAAAAAGAATATAGGTACAACCTGAAATTAAACCATACAAGACAAAAACTGAATCACCAATATTTTAATGTATTGTAAAATTCCTTTTTGTACTTTTTACCATCTCGCCTCCATCATTCCTCCTCGTATCTCCGCCACCTCCCATTCTCACTCCCCTTCAAGGTTCTGGTTTTATCTTCCGCTGGGCGAGAAGGCTCCAAGCCCTCAAGCAGAAAATTAAGTTCTGGAATAAGAACGTCTTCGGTAACATTCATGACAAAGTTGAGAGATCTAGACTGAAGAGAGCGATTACTGAACTTGATGCTGTTCAAGAAACCAGACCTCTCTCTGAAGAAGAAAAGGAGCTTAGAATTCGCACAGAAAGGGATTTGGTGAATGATATTAACCTCCAGGAAATTTTTTGGAGGCAAAAATCCAGAGAAATTTGGCTCAAACTCGGAGATAAAAATTCAGGCTTCTTCCACAAGGTGGCCAACCAAAGAAGACGAATGAACTTCATTAGCAAAATCTCCATTCAAGGAGTATCTATTGAAGGCTCCGAGGAATTAAGTATGGGAATTGTGAATTACTATCAGCTGATGTACAAGGAAAGTTTGACATTCAGGCCCTTCCCCAGTGTTCTGTTCAGCTCCAATATGTCTCAAAGCCAAGCTGCTGGGCTTTGTATTCCTTTCAGTGAGCAGGAAATTTGGGGCGCCCTCACTGATTGTGATGGTAGCAAGGCCCCTGGGCCCGATGACTTTACTTTTGAGTTCTACAAAAGGTGCTGGAACTGGATCAAGGGGGATATTCTTCTTGCGTTCAACGAATTCCATAGCACTGGATATCTCCCCAATTCAGTGACCCACTCTTTCATCTGTCTCGCACCCAAAAAAGACTCCGTCGATGATATCAAGGATCTCAGGCCCATCTGCCTTATGAGTAGCTTTAATAAACTCATCAGTAAAGTTCTGGCGCGACGAATGGCCCCCATTCTCCCTAATCTGGTTTCCAAACAGCAACACGCCTCTGTTCGTGGGAGGCAGATCTCCGATGCCGGGTTGATTGCTAGTGAACTCATTGACACTAGAAGAAGATGCAAAAGGCCGGGTTTGCTGTTTAAGCTTGACATTGAGAAAGCTTTCGGCAACGTTAATTGGAACTGTCTCTTCAACATCATGTCCAAGCTCGGCTTCCCCCCTCAATGGTCCAACTGGATTAAAGGTACTATGTGCGCTCCTTACTTCTCTACCATCGTTAATGGTGAACCTAAAGGATTCTTCCCAGCTGAGAAAGGCCTGAGACAAGGTGACCCTCTATCTTCGGGTTTATTCATTTTGGTAATGGATGTGCTATCTTACATGATCTCGAAAATCAAAAGTGCCGGCCTGATCGAAGGGTTTTTTATGAATGATTCCGACAGATCAGGAGAAGTCACCCATCTGCTTTTTGCAGATGACACCCTTCTGTTTTGTGATGCCTCTTATGACCAGGTCATCCATCTTCTGGCGACGTTGGTGTGTTTCCAAACGGTCACAGGTTTGAAGATAAATCTTGAGAAGTCTATTATGATTCCAATTGGGGATGTCTCTGATCCCGACTTCTTCGCCGACATCTTCGGGTGTAAATGGAGTTCTGAAACTCCGATCTACTTGGGCTTTCCGCTGGGGAAAAACCCCTCTCGAGCGGCATTCTGGAATTTGATTGTAAGCAAGTATCAAAAAAAGCTTGAAGGATGGAAGTTAAAGTATTTATCTTATGGAGGCAGACTCACTCTCAGTAAAGCAGTCCTTTCAGGGCACTCCGTACACTATTTCTCCGTATTCAACGCTCCACGAACCGTTACCTCAAGAATGGAGAGAATCATGAGAAGATTTCTTTGGAATGGAACTGGAGAAGGAAAAAGAGCCCCTTTAGTGAAATGGGATCTTTGCAAGGCCTCTAAGTCTAATGGGGGGCTAGGCATTTTGGATCTGAATTGCTTCAACAAGGCCCTTTTAATTAAATGGCTGTGGAGATTTATCATTGAAGAAGGCTCCTGGTGGCGGAAATTGATTGCCACCAAATATCAACACAAACACTCCATATGGATCACACAAACCCTCAAGTCTGGTTTTGGAAGTTCTCCCTGGGAAGGAATATCTAAATACTACCCAACCCTCTGGAAGTATGCTTATTTCGACCCTGGCAATGGTTGTCACCTTTCCTTCTGGTATGACTGCTGGTTGCCTGGAGTTGTACTCGCCGACTCTTTTCCTCGTCTCGCCGCTGCCACTACTGCCCCTGAAGCTCGTATCGCAGACGTGCACATCTCCTCGGGTGAGTCCTTTTCTTGGGTGCTTGATTTCAATTACAGGCTGAGAGGGGGAGCTGAGAGTGAAAAGAATGAGTTACTTGAGTTCCTTAACTCCCTCAACTTAGCAGATAACTTGTTTAACCCTTGCCGACCTGTGTGGTCTCCGAGTGCTAGGTCCTCCTTTTCTGTTGCCTCCGTTTACAGGTGCTTGGCCGATGATGCATTTCCCGGCGTTCCTGACTTCCCTGATGCTGTGATTTGGAAGAACATCATCCCCAAAAAATCTGCTTCTTTCTTTGGACTCTCTCACACGGAAGAATCCCCACCATTGACAAGCTGCAAAGAGTTGGCTGGGAGCTGGCCAACCGGTGCGAGCTATGCAGACAGAGCGAGGAAACTCAGGATCACCTTTTCACCAGCTGCGGATACTCCATGAATTTCTGGAACTTAATCAGTAGCAAATGCAGAATTAACTCCCAACCAAGATCGAGCATCATCGACGCCATCCGTAGCTGGCCTTCCAAATCTTCAGACGGTTTCGACGACTGGTTCCAGACGTGCATTCTCCACTCTATTTGCTGGAACCTTTGGCTGGAGCGCAACAAGCGCATTTTCCATAGCAGAGATACTCCATTTGGGATCATTGCCCGGCGTGCCTGCAAAGATGTAACTGATTGGATCATTGCTCACGGCAAAGCTGACAGAGCCTATAGCGAAGTCTGGATCAGGAATCTCTTTTAGTTTCGCATCCTAATCTGTGTTCGTGGGGTGTTGGTCTACCCATTTCGACTTGTCTCCCAGCCTCTCCTCTTCGAGGGACCGGGTTTTGTTTTGTTTGGCTTTTGCTTTCCTCTGTTGAGGGTTCAGTCCTGCTGAACTTTCCTTTCTGCTTTTCTTTGCTTTTGCTTCCTGTAGCGTGACCGCTTCTTTGTTCCTTTAATAATAATCACCATCATAAAAAAAAAACGACAGCTGAAGGGGGCTCCTTGAGGAACTGGAACCAGTACCATTCATCAATTAAACATAATTAAGAAAATGAATAAGTTGTTAATTAAGTATCAGTTTGATATATTAAACGTCGTGGTTCGCATGCAATTGTACAATAAATGACCCCATCACACAATTATCATCAGTTCATCACCTATTACTTTTTATATATTACTTAATATAATCTCGTTTTCCACAGCAAGATCCAGTTTTAAATCAACAACTACTGCCTCGTCCCTCGTGATACGTCGACCAATTTCTCCAAATAAACAAACAAACAAATAAATAAAATAAAACTGCACACACACACACACAAGACACAACACGATCGATCATGGATGTTCTTTGCTTCCTCCATCACCTCCTGTACAAAGTAAATAACTAAATATATATATACTGAATTCATATATCCCCAAGATGCGATGCATTAACCCGTAGCTTGATCAAACGATCTTCGGAAACACTATGCAGTCGGAAAGACACGTGGGTTGGGCCGGGGGAGGGATGATCGGGGGAAGCATGAGCAGGTCGTCGACGGTGGTCGGAAGGAGGTCGACCTCGTCGGTGGTATGGGTGGAGAGCAGCAGCGAACATGGGATGGTGGAGATGAGGCTTGGCTCCACGCATTCGGGCAGTTGGAACTATAGGGACGAGGAAGAAGAAGAGGCGCTCAAGTGGGCGGCGCTGGAGAAGCTCCCCACGTTCGACCGGCTGAGGAGAGGGATACTGACGGCAGCCGGCGCCGGCGGTGCTGCTCCGGGAGGAGGTGGTGGTGGTGGGGAATTGGTTGCGGTGGATAACTTGGGGTTTTCGCAGAGGAATGCTCTGCTTAACCGGCTAATTACCCACCAGGACAATCATAACTTCTTGCTCAATCTCAAGACCCGTGTTGACCGGTACGTTTACCTTCATTAATTAACATCTTTTGTGTTTTTACTTGGTTCCTTATTAACATATATTTTCTACCTAATCAGTATGAGTGGGTAGTAAACCTTTTCAGTTTTCATATCTTTACGTGTTACCTGTTCAATCAATATGTTCAAAGGTTTTCTTCAGAATTATAGAAAAATGAATAATACCATTACATATAGATTAATAATTCAATATGGTACTTAATGTTAATTTTTTTTAATTAAAATGTTTAAACAAACTAGTTAAAATCAACCGTAGGAAATTGAAAAAAAAAAAAAACTTGAGTAAGTGCTTAAACAATCATCTACGGATTTACGTTTGACTATGCATGAATTTACGATAATGTTTCCATGTAAGGCGTAAATTTTTTCAATCTCAAACAACATAAAGATAAACATCTTACAAATTTTTTCCATTTCTGATCAATGTCGAGTGTAAGCCGCTAGGTTAGTCGGTTGGAGACTCGATCTCGTGGTTTGTTGAAATCATTGTATGTCAATATTGTGACCATATTGAACAAACCAAGAAGTTAGATGGTCATTTTGGATAACTTCCTTCGAGGTAAAGGGTGAGAATGAATGTGTTTCTGAAAATGATGTGGGAAATGAAAGGAGACATCTTGTAATTTGAAGTTGGAACACAATACCCTATTATTATTAAAAAAAAATTATATGCTGATTCTGTTTCTAATGGAAAACCACTGCATGTTGTTTGTTATTATGGTCATGGGTTCCGTCAATTAGAGTGGGAATTGAGCTTCCCACCATTGAAGTTCGATTCCAACATCTCAACGTCGAAGCTGAAGCTTACACTGGAAGCAGGGCTATGCCAACTTTCTCCAACTTCTTTGTAAACATATTCGAGGTACCTGTAAATTTGTTTCCAGGTACTCAAGTCATGAAGATATATCAAACATGCAAAAAATAATAACAGTTTGATTCTCTTGTTCTCTAAATAGGGTTTGTTGGGTTTCCTCCACATTCTCTCAAATAAAAAGCAACAATTTTGCATTCTGAAGAATATCAGTGGAATTATCAAGCCATCCAGGTAAAGCTTTTATCAATTTCATTGTCTGTTTAAGTGTTTAATTTCTTCTAAATAAACTAAATCCATTAGCTATCTTTATTGTTAGGATGACACTACTTCTGGGTCCTCCGAGCTCTGGAAAGACCACATTCCTGTTAGCCCTAGCCGGGAAGCTTGATTCTGAACTAAAGGTGCCAACTTTGATTATGCCTTTTGGATTTCACCACTTGTAATTAATTCTTCTTTTGTTTATAGTAACATTATCTTGTTTTTTTGTTTTTCTTGCTTGGCAGTCCTCAGGAACTGTGACGTACAATGGTCATGAGATGAATGAGTTTGTACCCCAAAGGACGGCCGCCTATATTAGCCAACATGATACCCATATAGGAGAAATGACAGTGAGGGAGACTTTGGCTTTCTCTGCAAGGTGCCAAGGAGTTGGCTATCTCCCTGGTACGTACGCAGATTCTTCAATTTAATTTACCCGTCAATTAGTATTGAACATGATAGAATATTTTATGTGTCATTTTGAGAATATTCTTATGCTGTACAATATGGTGTTGGATTGCAGAGATGCTGGCAGAGTTATCTAGAAGAGAGAAAGCTGCTAATATTAAGCCTGATCCTGATATTGACCTATTTATGAAGGTAGAAGTTGAGACAAAGATGCAAATATGTATGCTGGCGTGTATATATATATATATATATATATATGGTGGCCAGGTGGCGTATTCTGTGCATCCAATTTTTCGGGTGCACTCAGTGCACCCGCCTCATAATTGTCATTCTGAACATGCGATTCATATCAAAACGGTATCAATTGTTGCTTATGATATTATGAACAAGAAGCACATGAATTTGAGAAAAATTCATTCAAAATTTACTTTAATTCGAAGGATTTAGGATTTAGAGATTTAGGGTTAGGGTTTAGGTTTACAATTTGGGATTTTGGGTTGGGATTCAAAATTGAAGGTTAAGGGGTTAGGGTAATGGATTAATTTGTTATGATTCTATGTCATATCATCATATTAGATTGAGAGTACTAATTAAAGTTCAAAATTTGATTTATTATGGACACTTTTAGAATTGGGTGTACTGAGTGCACCAAAAAAAGTGAGTACACTGAAGTAGCCACCATATATATATATATGGAAAACGTCTCTTGTCATGTGACAAACACGCCAGTTATTCACGTATTTTTGTTTCCATTCACATCATTTGGTACTTATTCCCGTAAGATTGTAAGTTATTTACGTAAACAAAAATTCAGACTTTTTCCCACTAACAATTTGTATTTGCTATATTTCCTGTAATTAAATTTGGATTCTCAAATAATCTATAACAATGTGTTGCATTGATCATAATCTACACAATGACATCAATTTTAATATACTTCAAAGTTTAAAATTTAATTTTACAACGGCGTGAATAAATAACAATATGCGTGAATAAACACCAGGTTGCGTGACTAAACAACATTGATTGCGTGAATAATCAAAACTCTTACATGAATAACGCCAATACGGCGTGAATAACACAAAATACGACGTAAATAAATGAAAAAAATACATGAATTAAGTGTTTTTTCACCTAACGTAACAAGAGACTTGATGTGTTTAAATTTCTTCTCTAAAACTATCATCAACCTATGTAATTCTTTTTTCCAATTATATGTAGGCTGCAGCATGTGAAGGACAAGAAGAAAATCTCATCACGGATTATGTTTTAAAGGTAAGATCACAAACCACAAAGCTCTGACTATTACAAATATAAATTCGAGTTAATATAGTAACACCCTATTTGATTTTACGTGCCCTTATTACAGATTCTTGGTTTGGAAGAGTGTGCAAATACCATGGTGGGAAATGAAGTGGTAAGAGGGATCTCCGGAGGTCAGAAGAAGCGAGTGACAACAGGTGAAATGTTGGTTGGACCAGCCAGGGCCCTCTTCATGGACGAGATTTCCACCGGCTTAGATAGTTCCACCACTTTTCAGATTGTGAAATCGATAAGACAATCCACTCACATTCTTGATGCAACTACTGTCATCTCTCTGCTTCAGCCCGCACCCGAGACATTCGAGCTCTTCGACGACATCGTCCTGCTATCAGAAGGCCAGATTGTGTACCAAGGTCCTCGCGAACACGTCGTCGAGTTTTTCGAATCGATGGGGTTCCAATGTCCCAAAAGGAAAGGCGTGGCAGACTTCTTGCAAGAGGTAATCTGAGTGTTTTTCTCTCTTTCTCTCTTTCTTTCAAGATCTGTATTATTTATTGTTTTCAGTATTATAGATTTCAACATAATGTCACACCAGGTGACATCAAAGAAGGACCAAGAACAATATTGGTCACTAAAGGATAGACCGTACGCCTTTGTGACGGTCAAAGAATTTGCAGAAGCGTTTCAATCGTTCCATGTTGGCAAAAGCATTGGAGAGGAGCTCGCAAGTCCATTTGACAAGTCTAACAGCCACCCGGCTGCTTTAGCAACAGAGAAGTACGGTGTTGAGAGAAAGCAATTGTTTAAAGCTTGTGTGGCAAGGGAAGTGTTACTTTTGAGAAGGAAAGCCTTTATCTTTGTCTTCAAGATTTTCCAGGTAAGTAGTTAATTAGCGGTCTCTATTCATTTTTAGGCAAAGGCTAGCGTACGCCCTGGTATACGTTGTACGCCTGTGTTAATAATTGGTTTTTGTTTTTTAATATATTTTTTTGAATCAGAACGATTGGTTATTTTTTTATAGATTAAATGATTCTTGTGGCTTGAGTTAGATAATTAGGAACTGGGTTCACCCATTAGAAGTTAAGGTATAGTATCATGCCCCAAAATTAAGTTAATTCGTGCTCTAAATAGTAAAACCCGACGAGCGTACAATGTACCAGAAACTTCATTTTTAATGTTTTTGCACCCTATATATGTTTGGGTAGGCTTGGATGAAATGCAACTCACCAAATTCTTTCTTGGAATTGCTAGCTTTTTGTGATGGCAGTCATTGGGACGTCCGTCTTTTTCCGAACTAAGATGCATCGTGATAATGTCACTGATGGAGGAATCTATATGGGTGCTTTGTTCTTTGGTGTATCTTCCATACTTTTCAATTCTATGCAAGAGATGTTCCTGGTGATTGCAAAGCTTCCAGTCTTTTACAAACAAAGGGACTTCCTGTTCTATCCTTCATGGGCTTTCTCCCTTTCAACTTGGATTGTCAAAATCCCTTTCTCGTTTTTGGAAGCAGCTGCTTTGGTATTCGTTACCTATTATGGTATTGGGTACGACCATGATGTTACAAGGTTAGTCGTTAGTTTAATAAAATGAACAATGCTTAGTATAATCGTGGCACTAAAAATCAATGTAAAAAGAGAAAGAAAAAAAAAAAACTAAATTTGTGCTTCCTATGCAGGTTTATTAAGCAGTACTTTCTGGCTGTGATTCTTAGCCAAATGGCATTTTCACTCTTTCGAACTATTGGTGCTATTGGACGAGAAACAACTGTCGCTTTCACACTTGGAGCATTTGTTCTTTGTGTCTTGTTCGGATTAAGTGGCTTTGTCATTTCACGAGGTAATATTGGTTACTCTTTTTAACTAGTTTTAGAATCCATAAGATCAATATTTTTCTGAAATAAAATATAAGAAACAAAATCTTAAGGCTATATATTCTGGTTTCCGTGCAGATTACATAAAGAAATGGTGGATTTGGGGTTATTGGGCATCTCCTATGATGTATGGGCAAAATGCAATTGTAGTAAATGAGTTCTTGGGAAAAAGTTGGAGCCATGTAAATTTTTTTTTCTATCTCCATTCATTTTGATTTAGACTTATGGTCAAACTAAACAGATTGTTGACATTTTTTTTTTGTGTGTGTATTTCTTTTTTTGGTGTTTTATAGATTGGACCAAACTCAACACAATCCCTCGGAGTTGAGGTTCTCAAGGCCCATGGTGTTTTCCCACATGATTATTGGTATTGGATAGGAGTAGGGGGATTGATCGGATATGTCTGCCTCTTCACTATCATTTTCACAATTGCTTTGACTTTCCTACGCCGTGAGTATCAATAACTAAAACTCTCTTCATTTGGCTTTGAATTGCAATTTCATCTTTTTAATGCTGAAAAAAATTTATCGTCCCTCAGCACTTGGCAAGGGAAAAGCAAATGTTTCCGAAGAACCTCAAAGTGACTTACCACCTCGTGGTAGATTAACGACCGAATTGATAAACACGGAAAATAGTCAGCAATTGGATCAACCAGGTGATAGGCTTATTCAGAATTCATATTTCTATTATGGTTTGTCAAACTTTTATTGTTTTCTTATATAGTTTTGAAAACAGAAACAGAAGGCAACATTACTGCTAGCACAAGCAGAAAGAGAGGAATGGTTCTTCCATTTCAGCCACATTCCTTAACCTTTGACCAAATGACATACTCAATCGATATGCCACAGGTACAAGAGGATTTGGATTAGTAACATGTCTTGTTGCTTCCATGTTTATTGTAAAAAATACTAAGGATAATTAACTTTGGCTAACATATACAGGAGATGACAAATCGTGGTGTCCTTGAAGACAGGTTGGTTCTTATAAAAGGTGTGAGTGGTTCGTTTAGGCCTGGCATTCTCACAGCTTTAATGGGAGTAACTGGTGCTGGGAAAACAACCCTCATGGATGTGCTAGCCGGTAGAAAAACTGGTGGAAAAATTGAAGGAGATTTGCGGATTTCAGGATACCCAAAGAAGCAAGAAACATTTGCTCGAGTTTCTGGATATTGTGAGCAAACTGACATCCATTCTCCTCATGTTACCGTCCATGAATCCTTAATCTACTCGGCTTGGCTTCGACTGCCAGTCGAGGTTGATGTAGACACCAGAATGGTAAGCAAATATCAACGCATCAAATGTTTTTTTGTTAGTGTTCTGTTTTCACTGTTTAAATATCTCTATGCCAAGAAGAATACCATGATTCTTTTCTTTAACCATGAACTCTTATACATTGTTGGTAATTAGAATTGTAGTAACCTATCCATAAGCATTTAAAGTAGCTCAAAATAGATTGTGGATTCTAGTTTGATAAAACCATATATTGTGTTGTTCTACTCTAGTAGTTAGCATCTTTATGAAATCTGGTTTGCAGATGTTTGTTGAGCAAGTTATGGAGCTTGTGGAGTTGAATGATCTGAGGCAAGCCCTAGTCGGGTTGCCTGGTGTAAATGGGTTGTCTACTGAGCAACGCAAGCGACTAACTATAGCAGTCGAGCTCGTGGCTAACCCTTCTATAGTATTCATGGATGAACCAACATCCGGGCTAGATGCTAGGGCTGCTGCCATTGTCATGAGAGCGGTTAGAAACACAGTGGACACAGGAAGAACTGTGGTGTGCACCATCCATCAGCCTAGCATTGATATCTTTGAGTCATTTGATGAGGTGAGACCAACTATTCCTCCAACTATAAAACTAAATTTGTTTATAGTGGGATTTTATTTGATAATGGTGCCTTATGTGTTGCATTCACTTGCAGCTATTGCTCTTGAAGCGAGGAGGACAAGAAATATATGTAGGACCATTGGGAACACATTCTTCCCTTTTGATAGATTACTTCCAGGTAAATAAACTAGTCTTAATTAGGCCCAATTAATTATTATATAATTAAAAGCACAAGCACTTTTCACCGTTCATTAAGAAAAAATAGGCTATTTTTTCTCCACGGGTACTGTTCACAATAGGGTTCGATCTCATATACCCAATTTTACCATAAACCCTTTTCCTCCTTTTTTGCAATATTATTCATATGATTTTTATTCGGTGCAACCACTTCTATGATAAGTCTAAAATTCATAAGCAATTATATGAGTTTTATTCTCTACAACCACTTCAACGATAAGTCTAAAATTCATAAGCAATTATTATTAGACCACATATTATGAAATATTTATGTAACAAAATTCAATAAAAGTTACTTAAATTTAAAATTCGTCGACGTTACTTACTATAACTTGATTATACTATTCGATCACACATTATGAAAAATTTATGTAATAACATTCTATAACTGTTACATGAGTGTTACTTAATGATTAAGACACTACGTAAAGTTTATGGACAAATAATCATTTATGTATCAATTAAAAAATAATATGTAAGTTTTATATAATAATTAAGCACTACGTAAACTTTATGTAGCAATAGTTATTTACAATGTATCACTTAACCAAATGGATGACGTATGTTCTTCGTAATGATTAAAACATTACGTGAAACTTATATATTTATCTTATCTGAATAATTTTGTAAATTATTTGTTTCTACTGCGGCGGAGCGGACCAAAAAACTAGTTTTATTTATATATATAAAAACAAAAAGTAAGAAAAGATTAAATAAATTTCTTTTCGACTTCTATAGGGAATCAAAGGAGTGAGTAAAATTAAAGATGGTTATAACCCAGCAACTTGGATGATGGAAGTTAGCTGCTCAGCCCAAGAAGTCGCTTTGGGGGTTGATTTTGCTACTTTATACAAGAACTCTAACCTCTATGAGAGAAACAAAGAGTTGATCAAGGAACTAAGCACACCTGCTAGCGGTTCAAGGGACCTCTATTTCCCATCCAAGTATCCACAATCATTTGCAACCCAATTTGGTGCCTGCTTATGGAAGCAAAATCTGTCTTATTGGAGGAATCCATCCTACACCGCTGTCAACCTTCTCTTCACAACAATTATTGCTTTGATGATTGGGACAATGTTCTGGAACCTTGGCCAAAATGTGTAAGTTTTTTCATCTGCTAGCTCAAGTCATTTTCATAACTCAAAACTATTGAGTACATCCCTAATTTCTAGCAAATGATTATGCATTAACCCTTTATCCTATGTTTAAATTTTGTCGCAATAGGAAGAAGCGTCAAGACCTCATGAATGTAATGGGTTCGATGTATGTTTCTGTATACTTCCTTGGAGTCAAGAATTCATCAGCAGTGCAGGCAGTAGTTGCCATTGAAAGAACCATCTCGTACAGAGAAAGAGCTGCCGGAATGTATTCTGCATTGTCCCATGCCTTTGCACAAGTAAGACGAAATAAAAAAAGAAAAAAAAGTAGTCGTGATAAAATGGATTATAATCAAATTTATTTACTCTATCTTCATATAATTGCAGGTCGTAATTGAGATCCCATATCTATTCGTCCAAGCGACAATTTATACTATCCTCACATATGCAATGATTGGATATGACTGGACTGCCACCAAGTTCTTATGGCAATTCTTCTTCATGTTCTTCACCTTGCTCTACTTCACATTCTATGGCATGATGGTAATGGCTGTGTCACCAAACTATCCTATAGCATCACTAATTGCTAGTACATTTTACGGATTGTGGAACATCTTCTCAGGATTTTTAATCCCCCGAACGGTATGTGGTGTTGTTTTTGTATCCATAGTAGATATACATATGAAAGATTTACATAAATCTTAAGTTTTTTTTAAAAATATGTATGTGACAGAGGATTCCTATATGGTGGAGATGGTTTTACTGGGTATGCCCGGTGGCTTGGACGCTTTATGGATCGATTGTAGCACAATACGGCGACGTACAAAACGAGATTGAAAGCGGGGAAACAGTGGAAGAGTTTCTGAGATCATACATGGGCTTCAGACATGATTTTTTGGGTGTGGCTGCAACTGTTGTTGTTTGTTTTGGAGTTTTCTTTGCTCTTGTTTTTGCCTTCTCCATGAAGAACATAAATTACCTAAAACGCTAGATCAACAATTGATCTATGATTTACTATTATCATACTCAGAATACATGTAATATTCGATGATCATTCGGAAAAAAAATATGAAATATCCATGTACTAGGAAATACATTATTTTATTTGAGATGCATTAACATTATGATATATCCATGTAACAGGAGATACAATAGGAATCCGTTTTTAAATAAAGTGTATAAATTGAGGCAAACAACCATTTGAAAACAATATGATCTAAATATACACGATTTCATTTCTAATTATATATATTTGAATTCTATGAAATTGGATAAAGTTAAGCCATCTCCAATATCACCATCATTAAGTAGCTTTTAGCATTTTTTAAAGTCCAACCCACCAATATCTGATGGCTATATTTACAAACAGGCAAATTAGAAAGGCAAATTTGAGAGGCCATGGGGTTAGAGAAGAAAATATAATTGTATCCTATTCGTCGCCCAAAAATACACTTTCCAACGCCCTAACTCTGTTAAATTTACTCTAATGCCCTTTTTTGTCTTTAAAACGCATAAACCATAAAACAAACACATACAACTACACCAAATAACAAAATACAAGCCAAAAAACAACACCAAATAAGAAGAAAAAAAATCCACACACAAACACTCTTCATTGTTCACGCATTGCCGGCCCAATATATGTTTGAAAACCTATCCCGATTTGTTTGAGACATGTTCTCAACCCATCCCAAACATATAAGAGGCTCGTCTTAGTAACTCGCTAAAACTATCACTTTAATCAATGACCAAGTGTAACCAAAGATCAGGAAGTAGTATAGTAGAGGTAAGCTTTATTTATCAAATCCAGGGTCACCAGATCTACTATTACTCAGTGATTATCTTTTATCTAGTAAAGCAAGTTGCGATTTCAAGTTAACTAAGTCTAAGAAAGCAAGAAAAGTAGATTCGGGTTTCAAGAATGATAAAGGTCACTTAAGTATGCTTCCCTCTAGTCTTTAGTTAGGGCAATGTTGTTTACTCCCTAGTTCACTTGATGTTTATACTGCGGAGACTCCAATTCTAATTTGAATCTAAACTAAAGTAGACAAGGTCCTATTAGATAGACTGCTTAGTAGGACACTATCTTCTATGAAACACAATACCAAGTCAATGCAACCTAGATTCCCTCTATTGGATCGAAATCCTATACAAAGCAGTGAATTGATTTACTCTCATACAATCGATTCACAACTTCCGATTGAGGATGCTCTCTTAACCTATTCATGTATTCTCCATCCTAGGTTAAAGCGAAATCATAGGTTTTTTTTATCATGATTCATACAACTCATGAAAAATGCAACAATTGAATATATAACATTGAGTTCCACGAGCAAGGTTTCAAACAAACATAATTTCTAACATACAAAAATATGGTTCTTCATATGCAAGTGAGAGAGAGGAAATCAGCGGGGGAAAAAGTCATCATCATGTGGATAATGAAAATCTGTTTTGAAATGTCGATCTTCACTCCAAGGGGAAAATCTTGATCTCCATTGGCAAAGGAATCAACGAAATTGGCTCCAAGGGTGCTCTCTTCATTACATTATCTCTCTAGGGCTGTTCTTGCAAATAATGTATACCACAAGTTAATTAGCAAAAGTATATCAGAAATGCCATAAAGCACACCATAAATCTATTGGTCTAGACCACAAATATGTGAAATCAAACCACAACACTGATAAAATAGATAAAAAGTGGAGAAACCACACCACAATACACAAACCACAAATCTACTAAAGCAAACCACAAATATATGAAACCACACCACTACACTAGTGAAGCAGAGATGACAAAATGAAGAAAGCAGATCACAAGCGTTCAACATAATGCAAACCGCACAAGACTAATGACTCTAACAGAAAGTCGAGAAAGTAGACCACAAAGTCTTGAAACCACATTAAAAATATGTCAAACCACACCACAAACACTAATGAAGCACACCATAATGAACCTACTAAAACTAACCTTTCCGGTAAAACCTTTGGTGCAGTTTTACAATCCTTGGAAATAATAACACATTAGGTGTGGAGGGAGTCTAGCGAAAAGCTTAAGTTATTTCCCATCATCCCTTCTACTATGCTTTAAGGCATTGGTGCTTCAAAATACAAAGTAAACTTGTGCCATAAATTAGTTACAGGTACAAGTTCAGTTTGTATCATAATATAAAGGTATAAATAAGTTTGTACCATAAAAAAATTTGTATAAAAGGTATATGTAGTGTAATAGGAGCATCGTCAGCAAAAGAATCACACTACCATGATCATCTCATAGCTATTGAGAACGAATAAAATCATATGGTTCTATGCCATTAGCAATCTCTGGTACTTTCAACTTTATGATCGTATTCCAAGTTGAGCATAACATCCTTATGCACCCATTTCACATGTTAGGTGTAGCTAAAGTATTTGAAGGCTCCCTATTCAGTGCTATATATATGGTTCCTTGAATTTGTACCATACGTTAAAAATACAAGTTCAGTTTGTACTATGAATGTCAAAAACTAAAGAGCATGCTTTAAAATAATGTAGAATTCCTCATTTCCCTAAGTGGTATGGTTAATGTACTTTTAAAGTAGGTCAGTTAAGTTCTTCAACTTTTTAATTCGTATTTCTAAAAATTCTTTTGGTTATATGATTAATTACATGACAAAGTCTCAATCCCCCTTTTGGCTCCTTGATGTCGGAAAGTCTATGTTCCCCCATTGATTCCGAAATGGATTTTCCTTTACCTTCTCGTGTCGCGGATAGCCAACCAAGGTCTTGGAGCCAAGAGTATTTTCCTTTTGATCTAGATACACTGGAATCTACATGTATGGAGCTGGGGGATCTTTTTTCTTTGGAAGATGACCAAGGAAAGGAAGAAGTTCACAAATTATCGCATACCAGGCAAAAGATATGTACCATAGGAAGGTTCGACCTAAAGGACAAAGCTGGAGATGGAGAAGCGTAGACTTGGGATAGTGGAGCAGTTGCCGATTGAGGCCCGTCGGAGTGCAAGGAAGGAGGGTCGCTTTCTTGAATTGTAAGTCTCATGGATACTTCTATTTTGGTGTGGAATGTAAGAGGTTTGTGTGATAGGGATAAAAGGGCAAGGATTAAACGCATAATTGGCAAGAGGAATCCCAAAATTGTAGGTCTAGTGGAAACTAAATGGGCAGATTGTGATGATAGGATTGTACAGAGTATTGGAGGATCGGTGGATGCTGAATGGGTTGTTAAAAATGCTGTGCGAAGCTCTTGGGGAATTGCCATTTATTGGGATAAGAACTATTTTAATTCCATCTCTTCTAGGGAGGGTCGGTTCTTGTTGGAGGTTAATCTTGAGGAGGTGTCTACACAGAAGCTTTGGAAACTTGTGGTGGTTTACGAGCCTCGGGAAATCGAGGAGAAAATTGTTTTTCTTAATGAGTTGCTTACTTTGGGACAACAGTGTCAAATCCCTATTTGCATTGTAGGAGATTTTAACCTGTTTCGAAGTCATGATGATTACAGGGGTGCAAGGCGAAATAATCATCTTATGCTTGAATTCAATAAGGTTATCGATGATTGCAGCTTTATGGAGCTTCCTCTTAGTGGTTGCAGGTATACTTGGTGTAAAGGGGGTAATAGTGATTGTCTCTCCCGTATTGACAGAGCTTTCATATCAACAAGCTTTGACATCCTTTATCCGGACTGTACTCTGTCTGCTCTTGAACGCATTGAATCAGATCATACACCTCTATTACTCAAGTGGGGAGATAACTACAGGGTGCATAGACCGTGGAATTTTGAGAATATGTGGTTGGAGGATGCTAGGTTTTTTGAAAGCTTGGTTGTTTGGCTTTCTTCGCATATTCAAGGCCGAGGGCGGTGTTTCGGCTTGCTCGCAGGCTGCAAACTCTTAAAAGCCATATTAAGGTTTGGAACAAGGAGGTCTTTGGTGACATGAATAAGAAATTTGATGAGCTCTCTGGTGCGGTCCAGGAAATCAATAGGCAGGAGGAGGCTCGTCCTCTTTCAGTTGAAGAGGTTTCCACTAGAGAGTGTCTCCTTGTTGAAATTGGGAAAGTGCTTGACCTTCTGGAAATATCGTGGAGGCAGAATTCCCGGGAGATATGGTTGAAAAAAGGAGACAACAACTCTAACTATTTCCACAGAGTTGTGAACTACAGAAGGAGGGTAAATCGGATTGGTAGCATTAGAATCAATGGTAACTTGGTTGAAGGAAGGGAAACAGTGGCTGTGGGTATTGTTGACTTTTATGCTGGTCTATTTAAAGAGCAGTTCCATGTTCGGCCTTTCCCCGGGAACTTCAGAGCTTGCAGGCTTAGTGAGGCGGAGCAGTGGGCTCTTGATAGGCCCTTTTCGGAGCTCGAAATCTGGGCAAGCTTGTCTGATTGTAACGGGGATAAAGCTCCTGGGCCGGATGTTTTACGTGGGATTTCTATAAAAAAAATGTTGGAATTGGATAAAAGCGGATATCACCTCTGCGTTTGGGGAATTCTATTGCTCGGGTTTCCTTCCCAACAAAGTCACTCACTCTTTCATTTGTTTGGTTCCGAAGAAGGATGTGGTGGAAGACATTAGGTACCTGAGACCGATCAGTTTGATGGGGAGTTTCAACAAACTGGTGAGCAAAGTCCTCTCCAAAAGGCTAGCTTCTGTTCTCCCAAAGCTGGTTACTTAGAATCAACATGCTTCGGTTAAGGGTAGGCAAATTAGTGATGCTGGTCTCATTGCCTTTGAGCTTGTTGACAGTCGGAAGAAAAGTAGAAAGCCGGGTTAGATGTTTAAGCTGTTTATAGAGAAAGCTTTTGATAATGTTAACTGTTCAGAATCCTTTCTAATATGGGTTTCTCTGAGAAGTGGGTGAAGTGGATCAAGGGCACTATGTGCAATCCGAAGTTATCAGTGCTCATTAATGGAGAATCCAAATTCTTTTTTTGATGCTTAGAAAGGTTTGCGCCAAGGCGATCCTTTGTCGCTGGGTCTTTTTACTCTAGTCATGGATGTGTTATCCCACATGATCTGTACTATTCGTGAGAATGGAAAGATTGCTGGCTTATGTATGAATGAGGCTTAGGGAAGTGGGGAGGTCACTCATTTGCTCTTCGATGATGATACGTTGATCTTCTGTGATGCGGCATATTATCAGGTGATTAATATTCTTGCCACCCTTGTGTGCTTCCAAGCAGTCACAGGTCTCAGAATAAATCTTGGTAAATCGGTCATGTTCACTATGGGCGATGTTCCAAATCCTGATTTCTTCGCACCTGTCTTTGGATGCAACTGGAGTAATGATGTATCAAAGTATTTAGGTTTTCCCCTTGGGGCCAAACCTAATGCAGTATCTCTGTGGGATCCAATTGTTGACAATTACCATAAGAGACTTGAGGGATGGAAAGGGAGACACTTCTCTATTGGAGGCAGGATGACACTTTTAAAAGCCGTCCCTTCCAGCCAGATCGTGTATTACTTTTCCCTTTTCAGAGCCCCTATTACAGTTACGAAAAGACTGGAGAGCATTCAGAGAAGGTTCTTTTGGAGTGGAACTGGAGAAACTCGGAAGATGTCGTTGGTTAAATGGGATATGTGTAAAGCCCCAATTTCTCAAGGGGGGCTTGGGATTTTGGACATGGTCTGCTTTAATAAAGTTATGCTGGGGAAGTGGCTCTGGTGTTTCGCTACGGAAAGAGGGAGTTGGTGGAGAAACTTGATTAGCTCTAAGTACCCAAATCAGAATTCAGATTGGTGCACAGGGAGGAGTAGACAAGGTTTCGCTGGATCCGTTTGGGCTAACATCTCTAAGGAGTATGATGCTTTCTGGAAAATGGCTAGCATTGATCTAGGAAATGAAACTTGGGTTTCTTTGTGGTATGACAGCTGGATCCAAGGGGTGGTGCTCGCTGATGCTTTTCCAAGAGTTGTTGCCGCTGCGAGCGTTCCGGATGGCAAGGTATCTGATGCCTTGTCCCTCTCAAGTGAGATTGTTTCTTGGCAAATTCCTCTTTTTACTAATCTTAGAGGGGGAAGGGGGGGGGCTAAGAGGGAGAGATCTGATTTGTTGAATTTGCTTAATACTAGTGGTTATGGATGTGTCTTGTGGGCCTCCTAGGCCTGTTTGGTTACCAAACCCAGAATGTTCTTTTTCTGTTCGTTCTATGTACAGGTACTTAGCGGGGGAGTCTTTCAAGGGTACCCCAAACTTCCCTGCTGGTTCAGTTTGGAGGCCGATCGTTCCAACCAAAATCTGTACTTTTATGTGGCTTGTGGCTCACAAGAGTATACTCACGATTGACAATCTAAAGAAAAGGGGTATGTCTCTTGCAAATAGATGTGAGTTGTACAATATGGAAGAGGAGACGGTTGATCACTTATTTATGCGGTGCAACTTCAGTAAGGAGGTGTGGGATAGATTACGGAGAGCTTGTGGAATTGTAAAGGCTTCGGGAAGGGACATTGTTCAAGTCATTTCCAGGTGGCCTATCGAATGTTCTGATAATGAGTTGAGCTGGTTTCGATATGGGGTGTTGCATGCAGTGTGCTGGTAGATTTGGCTTGAACGAAACAGCAGAATTTTTAGGGAAGATCGTTTACAAGCCAAGCTTGTTGCCCAGAAAGCTCTTAGGGACGCTGTGGAGTGGCCTATTGCAGGTGGCAAAGTGGATAAAACTCAAGGAAAGAGATGTCTTGAGGAGCTTTTGAGTAGGATCTAAGTGTTTTTTTGGCAAGAGTTCTGCTCTCTCTTGCTCTGCTAGCATTTGTGAGATGATGTTGCGGTCTTGTTCAGGTGCCTTCTCCTTGTTGTTTCGGTTTGGGTGTGTTTCTATCTTATGGTGTATTGGGGTGCAGCGCCCATGGATGTATGTTTGGGGGGCCTGTGTTTCTGTTTTGTTTGAGTGGCCAGAGTCTTTTGTTGAGGGTTGGCCTTTGTTTGGTTGGGCTGTTTCGTTTGGCCTTGTGCCCTTCGTTTTTAGCTGTAGAGGGGGTCTGGTCCTCCTAGCAGCATCTTTCCTCCTTTTCCTTTTTCTTCTGCTTGGGATCAAGCCTCTTTGATCTGTTTCTCTTTTTGTAGTTTTGTTAATTTATTTCACTTGTACCGTACTTCTTATGATTTGGGTTTCCTTTAATAGATATCACCTTCATAAATAAAAAAATAAAAAAAAGTCTCAGATAATCATATTGACGAACATTCATTTTTCAGGTTTAGACCATAAAAATATGGAACAACATACTACACATTGAAAATACATGATCAATTTTTTATTTACTAATATGTGTTAACATAAAATTTAGACACATTGGTTAAGATAGTTTGAGCGATTTTCTTATCTCGAATAATATCTTGTGGCATTGTATTAATAAAAATATAAATACAATATAATATATAAAATATTATCTTTTAGTATCCAAATCCAAACAACATCTATATGGAGGTTCTCCTCCGTGACACACCCCATTCTCCTTTTTCTGGCTCCTCCGCAATTTATGGAAGGGCTACTTGGTCATTTTGCTTTTTTAATAATGCGGGCCTCTTGGAAGTTGTAAGACAACCCATATAGGCTATATGTGCAGGTGCAGGGTGCAATGGGCCATATATACACATGCCAATGCAGTGGGTTGATTTGAGCCCGAGTATCTATGATGCTATTTCCGTCTCAATATGAAAGAAATCTCCTCTAAATATTATAAAGGCGTTTCTCAGGGAATGCTTCCTTTTTCTTTTTCCAAGATTTGATTGTTGGCTGGTTCTTTTTTTTTTTTTTAGTTTCTAACCGCTATTTTTTACTCCCGTCTTTGATATGAACTACCGTCATATGTGGAGTTATTGTTACTTTTTAACTGTCAAACTACCAAAGCAATGGCGTTTTCTTTCCTTCCTTCGTCCCTCCCCTTATCACTCTGCGCTGCAACCCTAGACTTCCATCACCAAGGGAAACGTCCAATCTCTTTAGCCAATGACAGTGAAGTAGAAATTCAAGCAGTTGGAGAATCCGGATCCTAAGTTCCTCAAGTACGGATACCCCCACCCAGTTCTGTGGATCGACATTCACAAAATTTAGAGAAAGATTCTTCTAATTCTCCTCTGTCCCGGAGGATATGTGTGGGACCCACATCTTGCAGACGACAACTTTGCAATTTCAATCTATCGATCTTAGGTAAATTTCTAGAGAAAAAGTATAATTTATTGTGATTCTTTTACCGAGTATGTTGGTCAGACGAGATGGGAAATTGAGGGTTAGGAAATAGATGGAATTTAGATTTTGTTAGGGTTAAGAGTTTGTTGTCTAGCATCGCTAATCTTCGTAAGTAAAATCTTACCCTTTTTTTATATACAACCTATCGTTGTTTCGTTAATATTGTTTTTTGTTCGATCTTAACACATCTAGCTAATTAACTTAATTGATTGCATATGGCGAACAAGCTGAAAATTTTGAATCTATCCTCGTGTCTTGCACTGACAAGACTTCCCAAGGTACCAGAATCTGGAAGTCTAGAGGTGTTAGATCTAAGTTTGTTCAATGGGGACCAGTCTACGTGGGAAGATGAGCTGGATATTGGCAAGCTGAAGAACCTAAAGGTGCTACGATTTCCCTTTGCTTGTATAAAAAAGATAACATGAGGGCTTTGGCAGCCTCAGGTCTCTGGCCATATTAGAGCTGACGGATTGCACGTCGTTGGAAAGGATTGATTTTTCCGGTTTGGTGGATTTGGAGGTACTTAATATCATTCTATGCCCGAAATTAGAGACGGCGGTGTATTGTTACTTTTTAACTGTCAAACTACCAAAGCAATGGCGTTTTCTTTCCTTCCTTCGTCCCTCCCCTTATCACTCTGCGCTGCAACCCTAGACTTCCATCACCAAGGGAAACGTCCAATCTCTTTAGCCAATGACAGTGAAGTAGAAATTCAAGCAGTTGGAGAATCCGGATCCTAAGTTCCTCAAGTACGGATACCCCCACCCAGTTCTGCGGATCGACATTCACAAAATTTAGAGAAAGATTCTTCTAATTCTCCTCTGTCCCAGAGGATATGTGTGGGACCCACATCTTGCAGACGACAACTTTGCAATTTCAATCTTTCGATCTTAGGTAAATTTCTAGAGAAAAAGTATAATTTATTGTGATTCTTTTACCGAGTATGTTGGTCAGACGAGATGGGAAATTGAGGGTTAGGAAATAGATGGAATTTAATTTTTTTTAGGGTTAAGAGTTTGTTGTCTAGCATCGCTAATCTTCGTAAGTAAAATCTTACCCTTTTCAATGATTATTATTCTCCCATTTTTATACTGGAAGTTCTAACTTCTCATTCTCCGGGCATGAATTCTTGAACATGATCTTTTACCCTGAGATATTTACAAGCATTGTGAATCTGCTTTATTTGATTATGTCAAGTGAGTGTAAAATATTACAATACTTATATGAAGTTAAAATTGCAAATAAATTGTAACGTATTATGGATTTATTTTTCAAATGACATGATCATTCATACACACTCCAAATGCATGAGACATGTTGTATAAGATAGTTAATTTGCATGCCTTGCATAAAGATTATTCCAAACACATGAAATCATTAATCAATGGTTGGTCCATCGTCCACACTTAAAAAATCGCCGATTAATATTCACTACAAATGATCATCAGTTTAAGTTCTAGCATTGGGACTTCATAAGCCACCATTTAAAAAAATGATCATAAACATCGAACAAGAGTATAGCCAAAATAACAAATCTTAATATAAGATGTAAGATTGAAATTGTATAAACCATCAATTCAAAATAAAAAATAAAAGACTTCCAAAGGCATAGCCAAAATGAGATACATGAATCATAATGAGGTGACATAATATATTATGAAAATTTCTAACATGGGTTTATGATAGCCTTAGTCAAAAGTGAATATTTGTCTTGATGTTTGGTCTAAAAATATATTGTTTGCATCAATAATTATAAATAATTCATTGCATATTTAGTGTTTAGTTGAATTTATCTTTTATTGGATCAAAAGTGAATATATTTTTTCTCAATGTAGAGTATAACAATTGCAATACCGATAAAAATAATAAAAACAAATGTTGTGGATTTATGAGCCTGATGATGAGTGTCATGTACAATAAAACCCTATCATGTAAAAATAGAAATTAACACACCCGGCCGACGGCCGAGTATAAAGCTAGTATCATTTAGTTTTTTTCTTCTCTATTTTGCAATAATACACTAAATTTGCGCCCTCTTGTTAATTCCCGACTCCGTCCTGTTGGCCGCCAATCACACTGCTTGGAGATAGTTAATTAACTTGCTGCTAATTATTAGGATATAAAAAGAAAAGAGAGCAAAATACACAAGTTAATAATTATATATATTTGATGGGACTGGCGAGATACGTCCACCTCCTCGGCGTGGATATGTAGGATGCCGAAATCGAATAAGCTGGAAACTCACGCTGACTATTTAACTAATAATAATTACTCATAGGCTTACTAGCAGAAAAAAAAACAAACATGCTTCTTATATATAGAAAGCGCGCTGAAGCTGAACTCAAACACCCTTACAAAACACTAATCAACCCCCCAAAAGCATCGCATTTCGCATACCAACGTAAAAATTATGTCGACCCAATCCTTTCAGGCAGCACAAACTGCGGTAGCCGCCGCCGCCGCAATTCCTAAGCAAACTGTGCGCGGTCCTTCGATCGGCGGCAGCAGCTCATTGAGCTTCAACCATCCTCGTCTGTGGGACAAGCAAGCAGCAGCAGTACTACAGCTGCGAGCTGCATCATCATCGTCTCCGCACACAAAGAAGTTCAAACACTTGCTGGCGGCAGCAGCTAAGGACGACGATATCGATATCGACATCGCCGTGGTCGATGCCGACGAAGAACAGCTCGATCGCCCGGCGGCGGCGGCCGAATCGGTTCATGGGTTTCTGGTTCAGCAAGGGCGGGTTCACAGGCAACGTGTTATGGTTAGATCGTTTGACATTGACAAGCACAAGAAAGCAACCATTGCTGCACTGATGAGACAAATACAGGTCCGTTTGTTATCATATAATTAATAAATTATAATCACCTTAATACGTTTGTTCATCGTAATTAATCACGTTAGTTGATCATTTATGCCCATTTCTCATTGTCTTAATTACCTTGTGCAGGATTCGGCATGTAACCATGCCACAAGTTTAGGGGTTGAGCTAGAGAGTTTCGCTTCGACGCCGTTTATGACGAAAAACAACCTCGGTTGGGTCATCACTTCGATACAAATGGTGGTGGATCAATATCCTTCATGGTAATTACTAATCACAATTAACTATTGCATCTTTCCACGTTTAAGATGATTGCTTGTCCAAAATTAACATATATAATTGGTATTTGCATTTTGCAGGCGTGACGTACTGCAAGTCGACACGTGGACATACACGGTCGGGAAGAACGGCTTGGCTAATGATTGGGTGATCATGAATGAGAAGACCGGTGAAACCTTAGTCCGAGCTACCAAGTACGTATAACTACTATAACTAACTCCTGTTCGATTCATTTCTTGCATGCTACGTTGACTAATAATGTTCCTTTTGCAGCACGTGTGTAATGATGAACTACGAGACGAGGAGGTTACACAAGTTCGTGCAGGAAGTGAAGGACGAGCTCGCCTGTCGTATCGTGCCGGTCGAAGAGTCTGTAGTCCCCAAGAACGAACAGAGACTGCCTCGGCTGGATTTCGAGACGGCTGATTGCGTCACCAGTGGCCTAACAGTATGCAACCCTAATGTCAATAAGTCTCAACTACGTACATATAAATTATTCACATCTAAGAAATAACTTTGGCGGGTGTGGGATATGTGCAGTCAAGGTGGTTCGATTTGGACGTGAATCATCACGTGAATAACGTCAAGTATGTGGACTGGATCCTCGACAGCGTCCCACGCTCGCTCCCGGAGGGGCACGAGCTTCATGCAATGACGATCGAGTTCAGAAAAGAGGTTGCTATAGATACCGTTGTGCATTCTCTTTCCAAACTGAAGTATGAAGATAATGCAACCGCCGGAGAGAATGGGGACGGCCACGGCCACGGCGATGCTCCGGTGGAGGTGGACCATTTGCTGTGTCTTGAGGATGGGTCTGAGATATTGAGGGCAAGGACAACGTGGAACCCTAAAAATCTTGTCAACTAATTCACTAAACATGTACTACCGGAGGCGCTGATGAATTCGTTGACTTTTCTTTGTGCATGTTTTGCGCTTTCCCTTCCCCCCTGTTGTAATTTTTTATTCTGCCTTGAAATGCATTAGTGATTTTCACGGATTTGTGTTGTATTTTATTCATAATTCCCCCCCTTTGTAGCTACTGGTCTTTTGATTTATTGCTCCAACAAATGTGCTAAATTAGATATTTGTGATTGTAATTACTCTATAATTACAATTGTCTGTAACTTTACTCTATACATGAATAATATAATGAGGATTCTTTTTATGGCCCATCAGCTCTTATTCAGTAACTATTGTTAGTATTTTGAAAGTTGTGGATATGTGCCTCTAAACATCATAAAATAATTGAAGTGTTTGAATGTTTATATTTCAAATTTATGTATTTGAAATTTTGAATAATTTTATTTGAAATACATGAAATTTAAATCAATTGTTTGATTATTCATTTGTACCTTTAGCTATTCAATATTTTATTTTTTTATTTTGGAATCTGAATTTTCCTTGCTCAAACTTTGCAAATTGTTTTTTCTAAATTGCATTATTTTTAGTAACTAATTTTTTTCTTTGCATTTAGTACCTCGAATTTAATATTGTTTAAAACACATCCAATTTTTTTAACAATTAGATTACAATTTTGTAAGAACATACTTTTTTCCTTGCGATATAGTACCCAAAATTTTTGAAACTACAAAAAAGCCTGTTTTTGTATTGCGTAAAATTTCATATAATGAAAGTTTTAGTATCTAATTTATTTTTCATACCATTTTGAAATAAAATGGCATATATTTTTTATATGGTTCATTTTTCTCTTAGTTTTTTCTTATTTTCTTAATGCAGAATATGAGTACAAATCGGTATATAGCGACCGACTCACATTTTTATTAGTGTAATCAATATTAAAGAAATGCAGGATGCGACAGTAAAGAAGGCAAAGAGGATCCAGGAGTGCAAAGATATCCATGATCCTCTAGAGAGACCATGAAGTCCGATCACAAAAAACAAAATGATGGAGATCAAAATCCATTTCATTACAAAGACTCGGACTTGGGTAAAAATGGTGGTTAATACTATTAACCACGGTCAAAGAACGGTGGATAACTTTGGGTTGGCTAAATGTCAAAAAGGTGGCTAATAATGATTATTGGTTCATGAACAGATTTTAAACAAAAGGGTTAGCGTTGATGATCAGGCCTTAAAGGCTACTTATGATACAGGTAGAGAGAAAGGGTACAGTGACTACCAGCGGGGTAGAGGTTGTCGCAGATTCATGAACAAAGAGAAGATTGAATGTTACAAGTGTCACAAATTGGGCCACTACAAAAATAAATGCCCAGAATGGGATCAACAAGTAAGCTACTCCAGCGAAGTAATTGATATTAGAGAAGAGATGCTTCTCATGGCTTACACTAAATCAGATGACGAGCTGCAAACGATAATAGCTTGCTTGGAGTCTACTGAAAAGTCTGACAACAGGTGGTTTTTGCATAAAGACAAATAATCTATTTGTTCTTCATGCTGAGTCTACTGTTGTGCCATTGGCTCAAGACCTGTACTGTCTGCATATGATTGGAGCTGAAGAAGAAGACCAAGAAAAAGAAGAAGAACAAGGAGGATTAGGAGAAGAAGTGATGATACAAGCAACTTACATAAAACCTACAACAACAACCAATTCTCTCACACAAGCTGCTAATGTGAAGTCACGGCTAAAAGAGAAGCTGGTAGGTATTAATATACTTGGAATATTCTCGCTTGCATTGGGATCTTAGAGTCAGCAAGCTACCTACCTAGTTGTTTTGATGATGTAGAAAATCTGACTTTATATTCCAAGCATTCTCTGGCTTTTGAGAAAGCTGTGAAGAAAAGAGAATTGGAGAAAAGCTTTGAAAAAGAAGTTGCAAGCAATTTCAAGGAATTGGGCATGGGAGCTGATAGACCTGCCAAATAGTGTAAAGAAAAGAGAAGTAAAATGGATGTACAATGCAAAGCTGCAAGTTACAAGGTGGGACACATACAACTGGAAGTGTACTAGCTCTAGCTGCTAATGAAGGGGAGGAAAACAAGGTGTACAAATTGAAGAAAACACTTAAAGTACACTATGGCTTGAAGTAGCTACTCATAGCATGGTACATGAACATTGGAAGGTATGTTTTGCAATCTGGATTTATTAGATTCTCTTGCGAACATAATTCATCAGCTAACAAGTCCGGGACGGATTTGTTGTTGGGTAGCTTGTACGTGAATGATGTGATACATGCAAGTAGTACTGAAAAAACTGGTTGAGAAGTTCAAAATCTCAAGGCAGCCTGAACTTTATGTGACTATCCCATTATATATTTAAGCCAATTGGTGCTATTTTAGGGTTAGCTAACTCGGGAATGGTTGCAACACCATTACTGCCTAGTGCAATGAGTTTGGTATTTTACAGGTGGAGAAAGCACGAAAAAAAAAGAAATTGCACAAGCAATCAGGCTGGAATCACTGGTGGAATATTCACTTTGGTTAGGAGGAGCAGCGGGCCGGAAGTGACTCGACTGAGCTGGGAAATTATGGCCGGAGTCCCTTGACATGTATTTCTTTGGGCCGGGCCTATTACTTGGGGGGAGCTGGCGGCCAAAAGAAGGTGTCAGAGACAATTTTTGGGAGGAGTGAACGAGGGCAAAGGGAGTGGGCCACGAAAATTGCTGGGTGTTATGAAATAATTACTCCGGAATAAACAATAAGGTAATAAGAAGAGTAACTTCTTTATTAATACCCACGTAGTACAAGCTACAAGTATGATATGGCTATAAGGGAGAAGTGAAGAAGCTATATGGCTTTTGGTGTCTCCTTTTCTCTGCTACTAGATTGCCTTTTATAGGCAATGAGTGAGACCAAGCCATAATGATAATCATAATGGTGATCTATAGTGGGTTGGGAGATAGTAGATGGAGGATGTGTATGATGGACATCCACTCAATACTATAATACTCCCCCTTGGATGTCCATTGTTGAGTAGTTTGAGTAGAGCTCGTTGCTTCTAATACGCATGCATACTGCCTCGTTAAAAACCTTACCAGGAAAACCCAGTGGGAAAAAACCATGGTTAAGGGAAAAAGAGTACAGTGTGCGTATATGCTCCCCCTCATCTTGATATCACTGAAGATCCTTGAGTCGACGAACTCCAATCTTGTAGACTAACTTCTCGAATGTTGCAGTAGGAAGTGATTTTGTGAACAAATCCGCCAAATTATCACATGACCGAATTTGAAGTACCTTTATTTCACCATTCTTTTGAAGATCATGGCTGAAGAAATTTTTTGGTGAAATATTTTTGTTCTATCCCCTTTGATATACCCTTCCTTCAATTGTGTGATACATGCCGCATTATCCTCATACATGATAGTCGGAATCATCTCTTCAGGAGATAAACCACAAGTCTCGTTGATGTTTTTAATTATAGATCTTAACCATACACATTCACGACTTGCCTCGTGTATTGCTAAGATTTCTGCATGATTAGAGGATGTGGCTGTTATTGTTTGTTTTATGGATCTCCATGAAATGGCTTCATTTCCATATGTAAATAAATAGCCAGTCTGTGATCGACCATTATGCGGATCAGACAGATATCCAGAATCTGCGTATCCCACTAAGTTATCTTTGGGTAATTTTGAATAGAACAGACCCATATCCATTGTTCCTCGAAGATACCTTAATAAGTGTTTTATGCCATTCCAGTGTCTTCGAGAAGGTGAAGAACTAAATCTTGCTAACAAATTGACAACAAATGATATGTCTGGTCTTGTATGATTAGCAAGATACATTAATGCCCCGATCGCACTAAGATATGGTACTTCTGGACCAAGTATCTCCTCATTAGTTTCTCGAGGCCTAAATTGATCCTTTTCCACATCCAATAATCTCACAACCATAGGTGTGCTTAATGGATGTGATTTATCCATATAGAATTTTCTTAGTACCTTCTTTAAATACCCTTCTTGATGAATGAAAATTCCATTGCTCAAGTGCTCGATTTGTAATCCAAGACAAAACTTAGTTTTTCCTAAGTCCTTCATTTCGAACTCTTTCTTTAAGCAATCTACTGCTTTTGAAAGCTCTTCAGGAGTCCCAATAATATTTATGTCATCAACATAAACTGAAATGATTACAAATTCTTTGCCAGATTTCCTTAGGAAAACACATGGGGAGATAAGGTTATTCTTATAGCCTTCTTTCAATAAGTATTCACTGAGACGATTAAACCACATTCGTCCGGATTGTTTTAACCCATATAATGACTTGTTCAGTTTTATCGAGTAATGTTCTCGTGGGTTTGATTTATTTGCTTCTGGCAAATTAAATCCTTCAGGTAGCTTCATATATATATCGCTATCAAGTGAGCCATATAAATAAGCTGTGACGACATCTATCAGTCTCAAGTCTAATCCTTCTTGAGCCGTCAAACTGATTAAATATCGAAAAGTAGTTGCATCTATTACTGGGGAGTATGTCTCCTCATAGTCAATTCCAGGTCTCTGTGAGAACCCTTGTGCAACAAGTCGGGCCTTATATCTCACAATTTCCCCATGTTCGTTGCGCTTTCGCACAAATACCCACTTGTACCCTATTGGTTTAATATTGTGAGGGGTACGGACTACAGGTCCAAACACTTCTCGCTTTGTAAGTGAATTCAGTTCTGCAGATATCGCGTCTTTCCATTTTAACCAATCATCTCTTCGTCTACATTCCTCAATAGACTTTGGTTCATTATCTTCATTTTCATTCATGATATCAACTGCCATATTGTACACAAAACTTTCATTGACTTCAACCTCATTGCGGTTCCATTGTTTTCCATAAAAAACATAATTAATCGAGATCTCTGTATTTTCATCTTTCTCAGGTACCTGATGTTCTTCTGGAACGGATGTAATTATGTTTGGAGATTTTTCTTGAGTAATGGAATCCGTACATGGACCATCTTGATTTTTCATCCCTTTTCCTTTGCGAGGATTTTTATCTTTAGAACCTAAAGGTCTACCACGCT